CATGGCGCCAGGTGGCGCAGACCTCCTGACAGGTTACTCCCGGGAGGTGTGTCCCGTAAAGGGATAAAACGAACCACGACAGCGGGATCTGGAATGTGGCTGTATGGTTCATAAACGGCAAGGTGAAGGTGTTCATTGTGATCGTCGCCATGTTTGGTCGTCGATCCTGTTCGTTTCTTTTCGATCGTGGCGCGAATTCTATGTATTTTTGGGAGCGCCCTGGTGGGTTGGCCATATAACCGCCCTCGCCGCTGACTTTGTGCATTTTCCAGCGGCGGCAGCAACAGCGCCCGCTTCGCTCTCAAGCATCTAGAGGCACGAGAAACTTCAAGTATTCCTCTCATTGCATTGGCCACATCTTCCAGCGCTTTACACAAGGTTTCTCTCTCTATTGAGTAGTCTATACCTATGCATACTACAGTGTGGCCGATACCGCCCTCCAGGCCCATCGCCTCATTCGTATGGAAACCCAAACTCAGAGTTGTGGGGTGCACAGAGCCTCATCATTCAAGTTGACCTATCACCGCAGATGCCTGCCGCGTGTCGTATCTAGTAAGTCCCACAACATGGTTTTAGCCCAACACCACGACCGAGATGGCCTTACCTATCCCAACAGTTGTCACATGAACCTCGTAAGTGTATAGCATGGTAAGTCTAGATACAGGGGAGCCAGCCCTGACGCGATCTTTCTGCAGCCTTCATGAAAGGTTGGAACTACATGTACAGAGTAGTGGGCCAAACGTATCGCCCACACAGCAGGTTTATCCAAACATGCGCCCGCCAAGAAAGCGATAGCTACATATGCTAGTCCGTTCACACGCCCCCTACGAGCGGGCTAATGTTGGTTTGTTTGTGTATGCATAGCTACCGGCACATGTGGTGTGCTGATGGGAGACGGGAGAAGGTGTATGCATGCATACGGGAGACGAACACGCTCATGTTTTGGGGCGCATCGCAACACTACATCCTAGCACATAGTGCTCACACTCCAAAGCTCACAGCAGCAGCTGCAGTGTCTACAGCTTGGACGCTGTACGAGTGGTCCCGTGTGTCCTTTTCCAAACGGCAAGCGTGCGTGTGCTTGCTGTATGCATCCGCTGATGACCACGACAATGTGGAGTGATGTATGCACACTTCTGTAGGTTAGCCTCCGGATATCGGTGAACGGGTCATGCCGCCAATTGGTCGCCGCTTGGCTCTCCACACTCTTGGGGGAGCGCATCAGGCGTACACACACAAAACCTTGAGACACTAAGGAACAACAAAAATCATGGTATCATGGTGTATGTGCCGTCCCTCCGCATGTCGCGTGAAGGGCAGGAGCACCCGCGAAAGACGAACGATCACACCACAGCCCACCATTTTTTTTAATCGAGGAGGCGACCTACCCGTTTGTGCTTGTTTTTCCTTGAACAGCACGCATACCCAAATCATCGAGACGCGACTGCACGCCGAACGCAGGGGAGGACGAATTACATGCTCTCGCGCACACCCAGGCTCACCTTGTTTGCAATGAGGCATACTATGATCACCAGCACGGCTACGGCGGCCTTCGTCAAGAAGCTCCACTGGTCTTGCTCACCGCTGAGAATCATCTCTTCCACGTCATCCTCCCCCGGCGACGCTTCGCCGCCAGCGGCCGCTGCCGCCTCCGCCAGCTTTTCCGCGGCAGCAGCCGCAGCTTCCTGCACGTTTTCGGTTGGCATCCTTCCCGACCGTCCTCGCTCTCGCTCTCGCTTTCTATCTCTCTATCTACGGCCAGAAGCCAACACCCCCCACACAACGCTTGTCCCCACACACACCTCTCTTGGCAGACACCAGCCTTGCTTCACAAATTAACGTTCAAGGTGTGTAGGCTTGTCTTTGGTAGGCAGGATCTCGACCCTCGGCAGCCAGCCCTCTCGTGTGTGCTTTCGCGAGTACCCTCGGCAGGACCTGCTGCGGCGGCCGCGCTGAGTTGTCTCCCTGTGCTAATGTTGCAAGTCTTGGCTTGTTGGCTTGTTGGGGTCAATTGCTCCGTCAGCCCCGGCCCCATAAATTTTAGACGGCCAACTGCGTGCCCCCCCATGCCCACTTTTTTCGTGCTCCAGGTCTGCTGGACATCGTCGTCGGCTCGTCGACTACGCTTTGCTTCTCGGCTGAACACTGAAGAAATATTAGTAGTTTTACGGTGGAGGGGATTATGGAGGGAAAACTATACCAAACGCCGAGGAGAGGAAAATCTTGTTGTTTCGTTCAGAAAAAATAGATCATGAGGGCGGAAACACTTGGTCTAGACTACGAGTACTTTTATTGTACTTCGAAGTACATGAGTACATGATGACATCATGAGTGGCACCCTCTACATACCGCGCGCGTTATTTTAAAGGGAGACTACACCGCAAAGTGCTAATGCCTCCGACTTGTAGAGATAGACTTATGTTCGGGGTACGCATGCATATGCACACAAGTGACCCGGAATTCCATCGCGAGATGAACACCATAAACACTGCACAGGTGGCCAGTGGGCACGGTTACGGGGGGGTTAACGTGACACGTAACCCCTAGGCGTTGTGCAACCTGCGTAACCCGGTCGGGCGCACCTTTACCAACCTCCAAGGTTAGGCAGGGTTCCGAAACGCCGGTCCAAACCCAGTTAAGGGGAATTTGTATCCGTGCTTGGTTGCAGGCGAGTTTGTCCAAGCCCGAGAATGTCCATGCCTTGCCGCGAAAACTCGTCTGTATACCAGCCGGTGTCCACAGAGTAGTACACGACACACCGATTCATCGGACATTCGCGGCATTTATAAAAAAAAACAAAACTTCAAGAGTGCCGGCATTTGTAAGACCGATTTTTTTACAGTTGACTACCGTTGGACGCGCAAAAATAAAAACACTACACCCCCCCCATCTCCGCACCAGCAACCAGTACTATCAACAGTACTATTTTCAAAGGAACCTCCTCCTCGCCGCTGATCTCCAACTAACTGCCCACCGTTCACCCCGCGAGTAGCCCCTCACCCCTTCGTGAGTGCTCATTATATCTTGCAGCTGTCGCGTTTTGGGGGCTCTGTTCTTACACCACAAAGAAATGCGGGTTCGTTCTTGTTCTTAACACCACGTCGGGCCTGAGCACGCACGTGTGCTGTAATTATTAATTTATTTGTCGACAATTTCTTTGAGCTTGACTTTTTTTCGAGGCCGCATTTCTTAACTGCCAAGTTCTTAGGAGCGCCATCTTCATCTTCTGATGATCATGATGTAGTGCCGGAAGCAACATGGACAGATATGGGCCTACTCTATTTGATATATATATTGTTGCGTAGAAACACGCACGGCAACGATTGCGGGGCAAAGCAAAGACCGAGAAAAAGAGAGATAGCGTAGGCGATGATGTACTATAATATATTTACCTACACACGCTGCCTCTCGTAAAAGTCAATACGACACAACACGTACGTACGTCTGTCTCCTTAAAAAGATATAACAATAGTGGTCGAATGTAGTATTATTACATATTAATATCTCTGCTGAAAACAATTGCGCGCTCAGCATTGTTAAAAAATTCTATACNGGACAGATATGGGCCTACTCTATTTGATATATATATTGTTGCGTAGAAACACGCACGGCAACGATTGCGGGGCAAAGCAAAGACCGAGAAAAAGAGAGATAGCGTAGGCGATGATGTACTATAATATATTTACCTACACACGCTGCCTCTCGTAAAAGTCAATACGACACAACACGTACGTACGTCTGTCTCCTTAAAAAGATATAACAATAGTGGTCGAATGTAGTATTATTACATATTAATATCTCTGCTGAAAACAATTGCGCGCTCAGCATTGTTAAAAAATTCTATACTTCGTATACTATATGTTGTTGCTGCTGTGGAACATAAAAACTTAGCTGAACAAAAACTTGCCATTGAACGATCGATTCGTAATGGAACGCTTTACTCGGAGTTCTGCTTTTAGCGTGGGGGGGACCGCATAGTATAAGTGTGCTCTTATCGGCCGCGTGGGTGGTGTTGCCACCATTGTTTCCGCCCCTACTGAAGAAGCATAGAACTTGGTACAACAGTCTTAGGCTTCAACATGTAGCGTAGCGGTCAACCGTTAGATTTTTGAAGGCACAGGTTGCTGGCTCGATCCACCCCAAGTTATGTTTCCTTCACCGATCAATCCGACGTAGAGTAATGCCAAGCGAGGTATTGCGTAACTATAACACAAATACGGGTTGAATACAATGTGGCAATGGAGGGGACGGCTCACACATACTTTTTTCTTTTCTCCTCCTTCACACCAATCCGAAGGCTCACACATAGTTTTTTTTTTTCTCCTCCTTCATTCACACCAATCCGCGCATGACCGCTTTCATAACCTGGTACGTTATGCTCGCTCGGCCTGTAACCCCCCCACGTTATCCCATGTAATAACCACTGGTTGGCCGGAGGTTACACAACGCCCCCGTACAACCAACCGTGCCCACTGGCCATCTGTGTGTAGTCTAGATTTGGTACAGGAGATTTCGTAGCCTCATGATCATGCAGCGTTTCTTGAGCATATCGAAAGTAAGAAAGGGATACATGATGTGCGCCTGCATACCGTGCGTGGGGCAACGTGCAGATGTTCGGGTGCTTTGAACAGGTTATGAACTAGCCTAGCGATGCAGCACCCTTTGCCGCCGACAGGAAACGAGGAAGTGTACGTAGTCTAGCCTATACCATGTACACTCGCTCCACAACAATCCATCCACTTCCAAAGTTTTTCCATAGCTACAATCTATTTGTACAGCAGGGTCTCACGCGGAAGCATAGGGGGACCCAAGTGGAGAGGTGATACAGTAATTCCACGAAGTGAGCGACAAATATATACAGCTACAGCAGGGAATATCACACACGACTTAAAAACAATTTCCGCATTCGCGAGCTAGATATTGAGAATAACCTAGAGACGCCCTCACGATGCACATCCATCGTGGATATCAATGTAGACCATTCTACATGTAGAAAAGAATCACATGACGGCGCAGACTTCACTAGACGTCTGGTTGGTCACGGCCGCCTCCTCGGCACCACCGTTCCCATAATGTCCGCCCTCTTGCTGATCGAACTGCATCACAAAACTTGCCAACACTGGCCGATGATCGGAAGTCTTGAGCTCTCCGACGCTGCGGTAAGCTGTGAGCTGGATCCCGCCCGTCACCCCCCCCCCTCCCCCCCCTATTTCCTCTCCACTCTTCCCCTCGTTACACTTCTTCTCCCGGTGCTCGTTGTTCTTGACGGTAGTAGCGGCGGCACCCTCCGCAGGAGGAGCAGACGCAACCCTGCTCGAATACAGGATTCGATCCGTCCAGGCCGGCACGCGTTGCTTGGAGGACGTGTCGTACGTGTCGGTCCCGCTGTCGAACTTGTACGTCGGCCGAAAGTTGAGGGGTCCCTCCGAGTAGCCCAAGAACGGCGGCGGCTGCCGCCCCCCCTCGCCCCCGCCCTCGCCCCCTCGGTCTCGGCTCCTCTCGAGAGACAGCTGCTCGTTGTTGAGAAGGACCCCGTGCATGTCTTTCGACAGGAGCAAGTCGGCCACCGCGCGAGGGGCGTTGATCCGGTAGTTGAGATCCCCCGCCCAGAACACGCGGTCGAACGCCTGCGGGAGCGTTGTCCAACTACTCCTGGCGTCACTGCTGTGCTTGGGCAACTTATCTCTTCCCCCTAGTCCCACCCCTGGTTGCGCTTCTTCTCGTCCCCCCCATTGTCTTCCCCCGTGATTCCTTTCGCTTTCATCCTGCTGACCGGTGCTTCGGCGAGAAGGGCGTGCATCGCTAGGGTCCGGCGTAAGGGGTGGTGTAGTACATTTATCTACGGCGTCATCAACCTCCTCCAGGGCAGTCTTTGAAACCGCCGCCGCCACCGTCGCTACGTCCGTTTTCGATTCCTTCGATCGGGTTCCCTCCTTCCCTGTCGGCGACAACGTCGACGCTGCCACCTTTGAACACTCTGCCGGCGTCGCTGCACTATTTAGATTCGAGTGGTCTGGATCTCCATCTCCATCCAAACTCCTCACGCCGACCATGGATGGCCGTGTCGCTGTGCTCTCCTCCCCGGGACCTTGCCACCTTACCCCGTCGGCGGCGTCTGATACAGAAACAGGGGGAGGCTGGTCTTCAGCATTGGCACCACCACCAACACCACCCCCGCCGTCGTCGTCCTTTTTTTCAGCACGCTGGTCGCACCCTACTTCACCAGGCGGCGATTGTCCAGAGACAGACAGCGGGGCCGGCGCAGCAGCTTGCGGAGGTTCCTCTTCGCGTCTCGGGTCCTCGCCGTCGTGGGCCGCGCCGGCGTTGACGAAGCTTGGTCCGGGGGGACCGAGGTCCCGTACGAGGCCGTCGGAGATCTGGAAGAAGTGGTCGTTTCTCTCTCGCACATTGTTCTGGTGGGCCGCCAGGTGCGAGTTGACGAACACGCAGGAGGTGGCCCCGATGCTGAACGATATCCCGACGCCGCCCTTGTTCCCCAGAGTCGTGCTCGGGGCGCCGAGACTGAGGCCCGTCGCGACGGCGGAGGAGCGTACGTTGCGCAGCAGGGGAATTATCCCCCGGTGCGCGAAGACGGCGTTGTGGGTGGCCTGTGGTCAGCACATGCGCGGGGCGGGTGTTCGCGAAGAGAGAGAGCAAGGGAAGTGTACTAGTGGGTCGAATGGACGGATAGTAAGTTGTGTCTGGTTTTCGACGGTGCGGTATCGTCGCTGACAGCACCAAGCATATGCCCGGGAGATGACTGAACACGCATCGGGGAATGGCACAAAACCAGAGTTTCCGGCGAGGGGTGTATCGGATCGACGTACCGCTCCATCCACCCACGTCGTCAGCTACCGACACGCAGAAAACAGACGCAATACGGCAATTACAAACAGCCGTGGCTTAGTCGCAACGTGTAGCAAACTCTTTGTATCGGAGTCGAAAACTTCGGTGAGAACCAGCACGCTGCGCCCACCTGAAGGCCGTGAGCACAAAGCATTTCGTACGAATCGCCCAGAGTTTCCTTCAACAAGCTCTCCCATTCCTTCTTAGAATGCACTATTACAGACTTTGCAATGCTGTGGAGGCATTCTTCCGTCCCGATAGCGTAGATGTGGAACTGCCGACGGAGAAGCGCAGAGAAAAGTGAGGGCCTACGAAGCTCCACACGACATGCCGATACGTCACAGTAATAAGTCAAGACGTGCTTCTCGGTGTAAATTGGAGTCAAGAACCTGGCCGGGCGGGTGTTGATCATGTGTGAAGAGAACGTGCGCGGCAGGCAGGGAAGCAATTGAACTCTCGAGAACCTTGTCAGACTTACATCCCAATGTCACACCATCGCCGCGTCCTCATGCAGGTCGTGTCAACTTAACAGCGAGAACCATGGCAATTTCTTTTGAAATGTTTCGGATCGGTATAATGCAAGAACAAATTATATTGCTCTCAAAGTGTTGTTGTCTACCACAACTACACGCCTCAGAGTAGGGCACAAACGTCAGCTCATGTCGCGCAAAAGTAGGGCTGGAGGTGGTGTTTCGTGAGCGCGTCCCGTGTTCCACCAAAAGGATGAGGTGGAAAAAACTCACTCACCTTGCCAGGGGGCAAAATAGTTTCCCGTAGCTTGTCCGCCGCCGGGGTCGGCTTGGCGTGCAGGTTCCAAGTAACCACTCTCACGAGAACACTGCCCATGCTGTTGGCGGCCGCCAGGACGTCGTCTTCGCCCTTGTCGAGCGCCCAGAGGTCTGGATCTGGCTCGCTGTCCAGCAACTCGGGCCAATCGTCACGAGAGGTCAGCGTGTTGTCCCTAGCCAGTACCCTGCGGGCATGTTTCGCTACATCCGGTGGTCCCGCTGCTGCCGTTGCTGGTGGTTGTCGGACCCCGGTTTCTAACCTTTTGGAGGACACGGCAGTATCCTCTTGGTGTAGATCGCCGCTCGCCTTCTCTTCTGTCGTCAAGCCTCGTTCACCCTTACGATCGCCGCCAGCATCGTCGTGACGGCTCTCGTCTGGTTCCGGAACCGGTCCCTGTTTGTTTCGTCCACCGCTTGCCACGCCTCCGTCGGTAAGTGTTGTCGCCTCCGTGCATCCGGCCTGTATATCTTTGCTATTCGTTTCGTCATCGATGGCGGGGCCGTCGACATAGGCGTTAGGTAGGTCGTCGCTTGACATCGGTCTTCTGTTGTCGTTATGGCAGAGGTTTTCTTCCTTGTTGCAGCCGTCGCTCTCACCGAGGTCGCCGCCAGGGGTGTCGCCGAAAAAGGCTGCCGGCGCGACCTTTCCGGGCGAGTCTTGTTTGTTACGCCCAGGTTTCAGACGGCTCCAAGAGAGGGGTGAAAGGCGCTTGGCCCCAGCTTGCTTCAGTCGATCGGGTGACCTCTTCCAGCCCGTTGAAACTCGTTGTGGAGAAGCTGACGCCGGCGAGACTTGGGCTTCAGACCCAAAAGCCAACACGTTGCGGAGTCCAAGGCCAACTCTTGCCCTTATAGCTGCAACAGGAGAAACCGGATCTCGGCCACGCCCCGTCCGCCCACGGCTGGGCGTCCCTGCCCTTTCGCCGACTTCTGGATCTACAACGGTACCCCCAGTTGCTTCAACCACTACGATATCACCAGGTGTATCGCCGGCCTTGGAGTCGTCTTGTTCCTCGGCCTCTGTCTCGACGACGGGATCTGAGTTTTTCGCATCGGCCGCGACCCTTTTTCTGTGCTCAGCATCTCCTAGATACTGGTCGTCGTCAGACCGTGGACAGCATTCCAATTCTCTATCGTCCTTGGCAATGTTGGTGCTGTTGCCTTCTGCAGCATTGTTAGGGTCGTCGCCACGCCCGATGTTCGTCAGCGTTGTCGTCGTCGTCGCATGAGAGCTACTACTACTATTGCGCCCGGCAGCGGTGTCACCATTCGCCCCCATCAACAATGGACCTTCTTCCTCTTTGGCTCCGCAGGTTTGGCCTTGAGATTTCACTGGGCTTGCACTACCGTGCCTCTTCGTCTGCTTGGTGCGGTTGTGTTGTTGGCCATGCCGGTCGTCGTCGCTTCCAAGTATCGCCACCGACGATAAGCGGCCGTTGTCCCCGAGCGGAGGCAAGATGACCGCATTCCTGCCTACTTCCCGCAGGTTTGTACCGCTGTACGTACAGTCGCCCCTTTCTGGTGCTTGGAAGCTCTCGCGCTGATGGTGACACGGCGGTGCAGACATCCAAGCTCGCGAACATGTCGATATCGTACTACTGCTGCACAATCATGTATCATGATCATGTGTCGCGTCGCGCCACCAGATTTCAGAGAGGCACCGCAAGAGAAAAGATTCGGGGGGTACCCCCCATACCACCCCCCTGCTCGTCCATCGTCCATGTCACCATGCCAGACACACGGTTGGTACAACAGCAGCAGCAGGGCCTTGGTGCCCGCACACGGTGACCAAGATCATGCAGCACCCATCGCATCTCATGCCGCCGTCTCCTCCGCAAGTGCTGTTCTTTGGCGAGTTCCGGCCAAAAGAAACCGGAGAACTAGACGAGGTGGGATGTCGACAAGTGTAGCGTAAGATCGCACGGTCCGACCGAGCGAGAGAGCACCAGAGAGACGGACGTGATGATGCTCGTAGGTGCATCCCTGGCAGTCTTCTTCCTTAGACACGCTGATTCGTACCCTGGCATATGTTGACGATGACGGTTACATTGCTTCACCCCCCAGCATGCCCCAAGAGTTGTTGGTGTGCAGTTTGCGACTTGGCGCTGCCTATGGGGAGGGAAAGGACACACATAAAACAGCGAGTGAGCGAGAGGTAGTCTACACCGTTGCAGTACCCGAGTAGTCTTTCTGTGCGTGTATTTATTTCTCCTTAATTACTCGGGCATTGCAGCCACACGCTATTCTGAAGGAAGGGATACATAGCTGCTGGGGTATACTGCTGTGAAACTGCAGCGCAAAACAGAGAGCAGCATATTGTACATGGACTGCATAGTATGTACAAGCAGCTTGGCACGTGCGGCGCATAAGGTTGGTCTGCATCCTCCCTCGCCAGCGTCGTTGCCTCTCGTTGGCCTGTGCGTCGTATCGCAAGCCGGACCTCAAACATCATCAGTGCGTGATGTGTCATGTGGGATTCACGACAGGCCGGTCAGTATTTTGAAGCAAACATGTAGCCGTAGAGACTGCCGAGCGTCTTCGAGGCCAAGAGAGACAGCTAGATGAGAGAGAGACAACGCATGTCGGAAGAAACCATACTGTCACACGTTACCCTGTACATCATCACCGGACCACCCTCTGTGTTTACGTCCTATACCCACGACTTTCATGACCACGAGTCATGAGGAAACAGACAGCAACAGTGGTACATGGAGGAGGCAAGCACTAAACGTCCTTTCTGCAAGCACCTCTACGCCGCAGACGAGGCCATTTGAGGCTCCATCGCAGGTTGTTTTCCTCTCCACGATCCTCCGCAACTGCAGAACGACAGGAGGCTCTCTGTGCTGTCCCCGGGACGCGTTATTCCCGCCAACTTGTTCCACGAGGGACCCGCCAGCTGCCTTTTGCTACAGATACTTTCAGATGCAGCTCAAAGGTTTTTTTATATCACGCATCGATGTTACACTCTTCCGCACACCCCCTGTCACATATCCTTTCTAGCATACTCAAAATGTATTCACGATGACACCCTACCGAGCTTCAGTCGCACGAGATATCGCGCGCCCCACAGCATGCCAATGCGGGGTGTAGCACACTCAAAGCAGCCAGCTGCTGTTATGACACTGTTTCCGCTCGCAATGATATTTGTGGGAAACCGAACGCGCCGCTACCGCCTCTACTGCTGTGGCACCATTCCTCGAACATCTCGTGCAGCACTCCTGCTTCGATCCCGGCAGGTGTATAGGTGACGTCGGTTGCATCTCTCGTTGATATTGTTTTCACGCACGTTGCTAATGCTGGATAGAGCAGAGTGCGACACCACAAGCTTGCTGACGCCGGGCACGCCTACGGCGGTCTGCCTGTCTTCCGTTTGACCTTCCCCGCCACGCCCTCAAAACCCAAAACCTTGTTGTCCTTCGCGGTCTTTTCCTGCCGCCGCCGACTAATTTTAGTACCGTCACCCAACCCACCCCGCCACCCACGCTCTGTTGACCCAGGTGAAGTTCCGAGAAGCCGTGGTAGCGAGGATCATTCACGTCGTGCCGGCGGGAGAGCAGCCCACACAGGTTGCCCTCCCCCCGACCTTTCGAGGGATCACACAGGTCGAGCCCTTCCAACTGGAGGTGTGTATGCATGCGCAGAACAAGGGGCCGGCGGCACGGGGCGGAACGGGTTGTCTTTTTTTTTTTCAGGCGAGCTTCGGCTTACATGGCGGTAAAAGGAGGAGCTGGGGCTTTCACTCGTGTTGGTAATACCCAAGGAGAGAGCCATGTACTGTAGTTACCGAGAGAGCTTCAGCGGTTTCGGCGCGCTCGACATTTGCCCCGACAACGTGTATCTGCAGTTGCGCGACTACTGAGGTTTGTTTTTGCTCTGTTTGCACGCAGGTGTTCTGCAAGAACCTTAACAACCTGCACTCAAGATATTTCGACCGCCTCATGCCCACGGCAACGGTGCCGGGAGGCGCGGTGTACACCATGCCGCAGGACATCGTTACCAACCACCTCGTCATTCGGGGTTCCTTTCAGGTATGTGATGCACGTTCTCCTCGCCTTTGATTGTTGTCGTAGCTCTGGGTAGGGAGCGATGCCCCGACTTGATTGAACAGTTTCTCGATTGCCGGTCGCGGTCGAGCTGTCGTTGTCCTACCTCTTGACAAGTTTCTGCATTAGCACAGATACGTGTATGAACTTCAGCAATAGTCAGCAGTCTAGTGTTGTCCTGTAGGTGTCAGCGATTTGTGGGCGGGTACATGTTACATGAAATGCTTGCCAGCAAGCGTCTAAGGTTACGCCGAACGGTTAGACGGCAGGGTTTGAACGTCAAACAACCTAGCCAGATTATCGCTGCACACCTTGGCACATTCCAAGAACCTTCGAAAACGGACCCGAGCTCACCTCATTTATCACCGCTTCTTTGTTGTGTGTATTGCGTGCGCTTTTCCCATTCCAACGGCGCTTTCCCTATCATCCAACCTCTTTGTGCCAGGCGATGTCGGTCGTCATTTGCGGCACGGTCGTTCCGCGGACGGCGCTGTCGCCGGGCGCTATCCAGGCGCTGACGGTGTCGGACAAGCCGTCCTTGGGCGGCCCTTCCCCGCTGCCATCGGCGTTAGTGCCGCCTCCTCCCCCACGACCATCACCGCCGCCAAACAGCCACCAGCAACAAATGCAGCAGCAAGCCATGGCTGTGGACGGCCCGCCGCCGCCCCCGCCACCAGTACGGCCTGCGACCCAGGCACCACCGGCAGCGGCGGCGGCGACGGCGGCGGCGGCACCCAGGAAGAGGACGGCTCCCAAGGCTGCCTCCTCCTCCTCCTCCTCCTCCGACAAGCCGTCCTCGCCGCCACCTCCCGGGGCGTCGCCGTCGGGCCCCGGCCCTTCAAAGGACTCTTCTTCGCTGCCGAAGGCTTGGGCGCCGTTGGCACTGCCAGCTGCTGCCGCGACGGCGGAGGTGGTTGGGCAGGGGGGTACCACCGGCGACGGTGTGTCCCCAGCGGACCTGGCGCCGTACGGGGAGGCGGACCTTTCGACGGCGCTGACGGTGCCGCCGGAGAGGCTGCAGCGCTCCGCGGCGGAGGCGAACCCTTTCGACGACCGCTTCTTGGTGCCGGCGGACGCCGCGCGGGGGGTAAAGGAGGCCGTGGCGCGGCTCGTTAGCCTTGTTGATGAGAGCGGCCCGGCGGGCAGGAATCTCGAGGTATGGTATGGGGTGCTACGTGCAGCCAAAGGGCGTGCTCCGATACGTAGTAAACGTAGCCTTGTACTGCGCTTTGTAGCGTACGTACACTTTTCGTGTGGAAGAAAGGTTGTCCCCGTGTAGTTGATCGGCCCCGCTCTTGTGCGTGCCCAGGACCACATGTATTAGTTTGGGAAGAATCAAATAGCTGGTTTCGCGGAGGTGGACTCCTTGACCTTGTGACCGGAATTGTAAAGGGCCTGGTCAGTGCCTTCTCGGTAACCGAAAAAGTGGGCTCACCACGTCGCTTTTGTCGAAACACCGCTACAAACATCATGATGCATTTCACGTTTGTAACGAAATCGAACCGCTCGACGAATTGATTCTCTACAGTGCGAGGCGCTCGATGCTGCCGCCGACCGCATGGAGGCGTGCTTCCGCCGGCAGACGGCGGCGAAGAAAGGAGAAGAGGGAGGAAAACAAGGCGGCCTCGGCCCGTCTCCGGTGGCGGTGGAGCAAGGCTCGACCCTTGCCACCGCCGGCACCACGGCGGCCGTCGTCCCGAGCAGCGAGGCGTTCAACGACGACGTTTCGGGACCGCTTGCGACGGCGGTCATCCGCTCCCTCCGCTTCTTCCGCACTGCGGCGGCGGGGACGGAGGCGGGGTCCATCCCGGCCGGCGAGGGGGAGGAGGAGCGCGGCGGGGGCCGGCACACGCCGGCGGTGGCGGTCCTGGCCGACGGCTCGGTCACCGTCGACGACGGGCACCGGCGGGTGGCCCTTGCGGGGCTCAGGCTGGCAGGTGCGGTGGCGACGGCGCCCAGCCCGGCGCGCGCGCTCCTCGCCGCGGGGGGTTTTCACGTGCTGTGGCGGTTGCCGCTCGACCCGGCGGCGACGCCCATGGGGGTGGCGCTTGCGCTCGGCGCACTCTGCCAGGGGATACGGCACGCGGACGTGCTGCGCGTGTTCTTGACAAGGTGGGAGGAAGGTGTGGATGATGGGGCGGGAGGGGCCGAGGCGGAAGGGCTGTCGAGGCTGGGCGGGTACGAGGCGTGTGCGTCGGTGCTTTCCCGTCAGGTGAGACGATTAGGGGTGGGGGAT